TGGGGGGCCGGCCCAGAGAGTGGGTCTTGGCAGGGGTGGGGCCAGCACCCAGCTCTGAATACAGCTCGGGGGGGGTCATAGGATTATAGAATCACAGTCTGCCCCCTCCCATTACATGCTGGGGGGCCGGCCCAGAGAGTGGGTCTTGGCAGGGGTGGGGCCAGCACCCAGCTCTGAATACAGCTCGGGGGGGGTCATAGGATTATAGAATCACAGTCTAGTCTCCGGCCCCCATGGCAGGACCCAGCACTGTCTAGCCCATCCCTGACAGACATTTATCCAGCCTGCTCTGAAATATCTCCAGAGACGGGGATTCCACAACCTCCCTGGGCAATTTACTCCAGTGTCCTAATATCCAGCCTAACCCCCCCTTGCTGCAGTGTAAGCCCGTTGCTTCTTGTCCTGTCCTCAGAGGCCAGGAAGGACACGTTTTCTCCCTCCTCCTTGTGACACCCTTTTAGGTACCTTAAAACTGCTCTCATGTCCCCCCTCTGTCTTCTCTTTTCTAAACTAAACAAGCCCAGTTCCTTCAGCCTCCCCTCCTAGCTCATGTTCTCTCGACCTTTCATCATTCTTGTTGCTCTTCTCTGGACCCTCTTCAATTTCTCCATCTTTCTTGAAATGCGGTGCCCAGAACTGGACACAATACTCCAACTGAGGCCTAACCAGCGCAGAGTAGAGCGGCAGAATGACTTCTCGTGTCTTGCTCACAACACTCCTGTTAATGCAGCCCAGAATCACGTTTGCTTTTTTTGCAACAGCATCACACTGCTGACTCATATTCAGCTTGTGGTCACTATAACCCCTAGATCCCTTTCTGCAGTACTCCTTCCTAGACAGTCGCTTCCCATTCTGTATGTGTGAAGCGGATTGTTCCTTCCTAAGTGGAGCACTTTGCATTTGTCCTTATTAAACTTCATCCTGTTTACCTCAGACCATTTCTCTAGTTTGTCCAGATCATTTTGAATTCTGACTCTATCCTCCAGAGCAGTTGCAACCCCTCCCAGCTTGGGATCATCTGCAAACTTAAGCATACTCTCTATGCTGATATCTAAATCGTTGATGAAGATATTGAACAGAACCAGTCCCAAAACAGACCCCTGCGGAACCCCACTTGTTACTCCTTTCCAGCAGGATTGTGAACTGTTAATAACTACTCGCTGGGAATGGTTATCCAGCCAGTTATGCACCCACCTTATAGTAGCCCCGTCCAAATTGTATTTGCCTAGTTTATTGATACGGATATCATGCGAGACCGTATCAAACGCCTTACTAAAGTCTAAGTATACCATGTCCACCACCTCTGCCCTATCTACAAGACTGGTTATCCTATCACAGGAAGCTATCAGATTGGTCTGACATGATTTGTTCTTTACAAATCCATGCTGGCTGTTCCCTGGCACCTTATTATCTTCCAAGTGCTTGCAGATAATTTCCTTAATTACCTGCTCCATTATCTTTCCTGGCACAGAAGTTAAACTGACTGGTCTGTAGTTTCCCGGGTTGTTTTTATTTCCCCTTTTTATAGATGGGCACTAGATTTGCCCTTTTCCAGTCTCCTGGAATCTCTCCGGTCTTCCGTGATTTTCCAAAGATAATAGCTAGAGGCTCAGATAGCTCCTCTATCAGCTCCTTGAGTACTCTAGGATGCATTTCATCAGGCCCTGGTGACTTGCAGGCATCTAATTTTTCTAAGTGATTTTTAATTTGTTCTTTTTTTATTTTATCTTCTAACCCTACCCCCTTCCCACTGGCATTCCCTATGTGAGGCGTTCCTTCAGACTTCTCGGTGAAGACCGAAACAAAGAAGTCATTGAGCATCTCCGCCATTTCCAAGTTTCCTGTTACTGTTTCCCCCTCCTCACTGACCAGCGGGCCTACCCTGTCCTTGGTCTTCCTCTTGCTTCTAATATATTTATAGAATGTCGTCTTGATTCTCTTTATGCCTGTAGCTAGTTTGAGCTCGTTTTGTGCCTTTGCCTTTCTAATCTTGCCCCTGCATTCCTGTGCTGTTTGCCTATATTCATCCCTTGTAATGTGTCCTACTTTCCATTTTTTATAGGACTCCTTTTTTATTTTTAGATCATGCAAGAGCTCCTGCTTGATCCAAGGTCTTTTGCCATATTTTCTATCTTTCCAACGCAGCGGAGTAGCTTGCTTTTGGGCCCTTTACAATGTCCCTTTGAAAAACTGCCAACTCTCCTTGGTTGTTTTTCCCCTCAGTCTTGATTCCCATGGGACCTTACCTATCAGCTCTCTGAGCTTACCAAAATCTGCCTTCCCGAAATCCATTGTCTCTAATTTGCCGTTCTCCCTTCCACCCTTCCTTAGAATTGTGAACTCTGTGATTTCACGATCACTGTCACCCAAGCTGCCTTCCACTGTCAAATTCTCAACCAGTTCCTCCCTATTTGTTAGGATCAAATCTAGAACAGCTTCCCCCCGGTAGCTTTTTCAACCTTCTGAAATAAAAAGTTGTCTCCAATGCAGCCCAAGAACCTATTGGACAGTCTGTGCCCTGCTGTGTTAGTTTCCCAACAGATGTCTGGATAGTTGACGTCCCCCATCACCACCAAATCTTGGGCTTTGGATGATTTTGTGAGTTGTTTAAAAAAAAGCCTCGTCCACTTCTTCCACCTGGGTAGGTGGCCTGTAGTAGACCCCTAGCATGACATCACCTTTTTTTTTACCCCTTTTAATCTACCCCAGAGACTCTCAACACGTCCGTCTCCTACGTCCATCACCGCCTCCGTCCAAGTGTGTTCATTTTTAATATCTAAGGCAACACCTCCTCCTTTTCCCCGCCTGTCCTTCCGGAGCAAGCTGGACCCTTCCATGCCGATATTCCAATCGTGTGTAGCATCCCACCAAGTCTCTGTGATGCCAACGATGTCACAGTTTAATTTCTTAGCACTTCCAGTTCTTCCGGCTTATTCCCCATACTTCTCGCATTGTACATAGGGCATCTAAGGTACTGATTTGATCTTGCCTCCCAGTTCTGCCTTGTCCCTCCTTTCTCTCTGCTATTATAGCCCACGCTCCCTCCCATCTCCCAGGTCTCCATTTTCAGAAGTAGACA